GCACCTGATGTGTCCAATTCAGTTGCTCTTAGTTCTAAACACTTTTATCGTTAACCTTTACAACATCTCTAAAACATGTCCCGTCTTACTCCATTATGATCTTATACAGAGTATAAGCTGAAACATTAATAAAATCAACACTACCGTAATATGCATTATCCATCCTAATGCCCAGCACATTAAATAATTCTGCCAGGGATCCTGTTTAAAGCAAAGAGAGCACTTATGACAGCATGGCTAAAAGAGGGCTGATTCGAAGATAAAATCCTTTGCTGTGTCTCACTAAGGGTTTGATCCCCTCTGGCACACAGTTCTTTAATGTACTACATTTCAGCAGTACAGCAAAGGAAAATGATTTGATGATTTTGGGATGGAACGACCATAAATGCCCAAAATCCCTCCTATTAGAGGCCAAAGGATGAATGAGACCAAATGTAGTCCCTCAGCTTTCAGCAGACATGAAATGAAATTGCTGCCCTGAAATACATATCATCATCCCACCCCTCTGATATGAAAATATGTGCAGCTCAATTAACCTACCATACATGAATGATTCAGACGCCCAGAGGAAAACACACCCCTCATGTGTGAGGTTTATCATCAATCCAGCCTGGCGAATAATCTTGGATACATTAATGAAATAAAGATAGACCTCGAAGTAAAGAAAAAGTAAATTTTACAAATTTCTTCCGCATTAAACCTGACTACATCCTAGCTGGGGATTCTTTTGAACATGATCAGATATTAAACTCCTTAATTTTCTTTAATTTTTATTTAAAAAAAACAACATGTTTTGTGCTTCTAATCTTCTAAAGCTAACTGTCTCAACATGCTGAGTAGTTTGTCTGTCAGCATAAGCCAAGAAGTCACGCTTAGCTATATCTTTTCGGTTTCTGCACCTTTCCTAAACATGATTAAAACAAGAAAACCCCTTCCTTGTGATCTGTCTCTCAAGACTTCTCTTCCAGACGGATTTCTTTGAAGAACAGCAGAGCGTACTTAAACAAACCTCGAAAGAGTTCAACGCTGAGATCCGCACAAGCCTGGCTTCTCTACGTCTCTACAGCCCTGGTCTTAATTAAGCCGAATAAAATGCGTAGACCTTGTTCCAGTTCGATGCAAATACAAATGGCTTAAAAATAGATCTCGTGTCCCAACACATGTAGGGGATTGCAGTTTACAATTATATTCCTTCCCCAACTGTAACAGACCACTTGTTTACCAATCCTGTTTGCACAAATGAAGATGAGAAAGCAAACATGACCAGCAGCCTGTTGACCTACTAGACTGATCGGAATTAATGAGAGTCCTCCTGCTAATTTCACTCAAGTACCTACAATCCTCCATTCATCCTCAAGGTTGTAAGCGAGGGCTGTATTTGCTCTTAATTCTCATTTCAAACTCATCACTTGACATCTTACCACCAATTTTCGGTTAATATACAAACCATTTCAATGATTGCTTATTGGCTGTATGATGCTTTTACCTATTTTGTTATCGACGTGACAAAGAAAAATTCAAAAATTCAAAACGCGAAAGTGTCAGTCTTAGTGGAATAGTGACTAAAATGAAAGCCTGAATCTAAAGATGGGCCAATGAGCGTGGGACGAGGATTTAAAAAAATGAATACATAAATAAACACGTTAGAAACAACTGTGGGTGTATCATTATCTATTTCCAAAAGCTTAATTCCAGTCATGTTAAGTGACGCCAACAAAATGACTCACTCTAATACCATCACACGTCTTTCACCCTTTCGTACACAATATGTGACTGTGACTGGTTCATTAGATCAGATAACAATCTATGGTTGTGTTTTCTCGAACATCTATTAGCCTCATAAGCCAAACAAGACCCACAGCAGTGCTGTTTTCCAGAGTACGTCACAGAGAATAGTTTTATTCTCAAGCGTGGCTCCACTCCAGGCAGATGCATGCTCTCTTGTTACTGCAGCGTTTGCATGTGTTTTGCCTGTTTGTGCTCAGATTGTAATGCGGTCTGATGCTTCGCTGAGCATCTACGGTTTCCAGCTAAAGTCAGACACGGTCAACTAAATGGAAATTTCCATCTCCATGGTTCGCTGTGGACTGGGACACCACTTTTAGCACTGTTAGATATGCCGACATCCTGCCAACAATGCCAGATCGAGTCTCCGTGTCAGGAATATCAGATCCAACCCCGGATAGCGGATCATGTCAGAAAATATCCGCTTTGTTTTTTGAGTTTGAGTTTTGTCTGGTACCCAGTATCAGCGTTTAATGCATTTTGTGTAGTACCCAAAACTGTATTAACAGTCTTCTATCAGCCCAAGATGCAGACAGAGGATGCCAGGCAAGAGCAGAGGTTTATTCTTGAGTTTATAATTTTAGTTGTGTCTGTTTTACTGCTAAGTCAAGCTTTGTCTGACCAGCACAAATCCAGCAAGTGTTATTAAACCAAAGCAAAAGCAATGAAAATGTAGTGCTTCACATCATTGTCCAATGATGTAAAAAAAGGCTTACTCATGAAGACTGATATCCCTTGAAACCACACAATAAGATTGAAAAACAATGAAAAAATATATTAAATGAAGGATCAATGAATGAATCAATGAAACGATTATATAAATGCAAAATGCTTTTTTGATGCTGTTCACTTTCAAACAACATGTGGAACAACTGTCTGATTGAATCAAGGTCAGCCAAAGAGTTTTTCTTTTCTTTTCTTTTTTTTTTGTGACTGTGGTTAAATTATTATTATAAATGATTGTATGATTAAATTGAATAATTAAACGATTAAATGCTAAAATATTATGAATGAATGAATATAAAAGAAAACACAATAAAGCACAACACAAATGGTTGGTTGCTCTCTTGCAGCAACACACAAGTTGCTACGAAGAATCCTTAGATCCTTCAGCAGCCGCGGGCATCTGTGGGAGATTCTTGAAGACCACAGGTCTGATTTTGGGGTGGAAGAAGCTTGTGTTTTGGGTGTATACTTTTTCCATACAGAGAAACAAGTACAGAGATCCTTGATTCTTGTTACCTGAAGGTAGAAAAGAGCTGTCATCTGACATCTTTCACTGATCTGCTGACAGTAAAAGCACAATGCGCATGACAAATAAAGCTGACAGCAATGATAATACATATCATTCACATTTTCTTTCAATTATGAAGCATTTAACAACTGATTTTCCACAAATGTAATTACTTAATTAAAATGATGCATTTCAATTCAACAAATGTGCCGACTAGGAAGAGGAACTGACAGTTTCTTTATGCGGTCAACTGTGGGGGCTTTACGATTACAAATGTCCCTTGCCAAAATGTGTCTCAGACACAGAGGAGACTGATGGCTTTAATATCACTTCCACCAGCTCAATTTGTACCAGGATGCCTATGAAATGGCCAGTCTAATCACATTTCGCCAAACCACAGTGTTTTATTGGCTCCCGGTCAAACTTTATGTGGGCGGCACTCTGTTTGGTTGTCAAGAGTGTGCGAATGCGGCTTTGTTCGCCCGCTCTCATGTCTTTATCTAAAGGACGTGGAGAGTTATAAACAATTCTCTTTGGTTATGAAAAACATAAAAACAAAAACGTGTCAGAGAGTCTCTCAACCTTAATAAAATTAAGTCGTGGACACCGCTTGTGCTCGCGTCAACTGGAACAAGTTGTTTGCATACTGTTGGAAAATCATTCAGACGCACCTGGTTGAGTGACTTCTCCTAAATGAAACAAAAGCCTCTGTTTTCCATATTTATAGTTTGACATCCCACACATACACAATGTATTGTTGTTGCAATGTGTTTACGCTGTCCTCATATGTGACATATGTGACCTGGGCGTGGTCCAATCATTGTTTCTCATTTCAATACCACAGTTAAATTTGCATCTGCAAACTCAAAGCTGAAGAAATAGGTCTAAGCTTGACAAATAAGCGCACTGAAAATCATTGGACCAAACTGAGAGCGTAATAAATTAAGGAGAACACTGTCAGCAGCACTGAGACGCTCTGCAGAACGGAAGGTGTAGCTGCGCAGAAAACCTCCCACAAATCCATTCCGGAGATTTATTTTCCATGTTGTGTTGCAACAAATTTGTGTCCTCATTTATTTGAATTGTAAATCTGGGCCAGATGTTATTTGTGGTGTAGTTCCCAAATCAGAAATGATGAGGAGATGTAGGCAGACATGCGAAAGCACATGCCAGTCGCATAAACACAGCATATGTTAAAATAGCAGGGAAAAATCGGTCTTAGACCAATTTAACTTTGAACTTAATGACTTAAGCTATAATCATCATAAGGCCCATTCACTCCAAAGACGATAACAATAAAACAATAAAACTATAACAATAAAAATAAAGTTTTAAAAATAAAACAAAGTCTGAGAATAGAAGTATAAAAATATAGTTATGCAGCAATTAACAATTGATTTTCTATCCTCCTTTCACACAAAGGAAGATAACTATAACGATTATAATAAAGATAGTTTTAAAAGTCGTTCTAATTTTATGAGATTAGAGACATTCACACCACAACTATAAATCAATATATAACAATACGATAACAGAGGAACACTATTGTTGGAATCACTTCCAGAACGATTTTTTTCCAACTGATAAATGATAAAAAACTTTGACAGCCAATCAGAATCCACTCAACTTTAAAGAGCTCGAGTATTTAAAGCAGCAGGTGACATAACTGCAGTTTGCGTTTATAATAAACCGATTGTCATTATCCGTTGTGTAACAGAATATTTTATAAGACTATGACTTTATTGACCATGAAGCTTGTGAAAGACTGTGCCACAGATAAAGAAGATTTACATCCATTATATTATGTTAGAAATGCTGGACACTAATATCTTTATTTTTTATATTTATCATTCTTATTGTGAACGGGCTTTCAAACAAAACAAATGAGATGACTAACTTATAATACTAGTCTCAGCAGTTTATATAACAGGTCCCCATGAAGTCTTCATTTGATTTTGTGTTTGTATGTCTGGGGTCGTACCTGTATTGTGGGTGGAGTGCGGTGTTTTCTCGTGGTGGTGGTGGACATGGTGGTGGTGGTCTCGATAAAGGTGGTGGACATCTCTGGAGGGAGGGCCGTGGTTCTGGCTGAACCTGCGGCGGGAACCTCCCCCACCAGGCGGACGCTGCCGTTGATTTTGATGTTAGGGTTGCCCTGAGCAGCCATGTTGAGCACTTTGAGGCCATTGTAGTAGAGACCGGATAGTTGGCCCTGAAATGGCCTCTTGCGGTCTGAACCACCAATTGTTATAGTGGCCTGGGTGTTGAATATCGTTAACTGCCGCCCTGAGGATGCAAGAAAGATCCAGAACATTTCTTGGTTATGGGTCGGTAAGAGCACAAAATATCTCGTTCAGCAACAAGATTCATGGCTCTTTTAGGCATTTAACCTACCCAACCAAAGTACAACGATTTAGATGGCTGTGCTGGATTATTATGGCTTAATTTTCTTCCGAAATGCTCAGGGTTATACTACCATGAGACACGTAGTAAACATTTGGAGGGCCAGACTATAAACCAGACCCATTATGTGTCCCTGAATGAGTCTAGCTACAAGCTAAGTACGTTTTACTATAATTGTCTCTATGAGGAGAGATCACCCATTCTATTAAAAAACAAAATGACTGGCATATGAATGCATTCTGAAATAATAGAAAGATTAACATGATAGAGCCATTCTTACTGTAAAAATGCTGAAAAATGTGTCTTGGTTACAATCACATGGTATAATGTACAAATCACTGATTCGTGGGACATAATTAAATGAATAAATAATTTACCAAATAATCATGTTGGACACATTTTGATATAGTAAAACGTATTTCGCATTGTATTTAAGACAATTTTGATAAAATAATGAAAAAATAGAAGGATTAATTTGTGCTGAGAACATTGTAGCAATCATCTCTGATTAATATTAATGCAGAATTGTTGCTATTTTCAAAACTAACGACAGGTGATACATGTTTTGTCTCAAGAATCAGTGAAAATAATAGACAGAATATCCTGTGGTTATGAATAAAAGCTCTCCAGCATGACACAGATCATACCAATTCAGAAAAAAATTAAGTTTATATGAGTCCAGAAATCATCACTTCATGATTATAATAAAAAAGTCCTAATTTATTGAGTAATTCCAGTGATTATAATGAGGAGGTCTTCTGATGATATACAATTAATGTCTGAAACGATAATCATGCTGTCGTTTTCTTCATGGGTGACACTTCCTGTGCAGCCACAAGCTGCTCTTGTGTTTCACTATATCTTGTCTGTCCACGTTCCTTTATATCAGCCAGAAAGTCAAGAGAAATTTATGTTTGAATTAATTCGTTTTAATGTTTACATTTGAAACATTCATAAAAGGTTTACTAGGCCAATACTGAATCATTAAACAATCTATATATTATTTAGTCTGACTTTAAGATCAACACAAAGATCAATGAGCATTGAAAAGGCAAAAGAAAAACAAATGTGATGAGTGCAACACAATATACAATATAGTTATTTATCTTATAATAAATAAATAAATTTAGCTAAAGGAAAATTGTAAAGTCTATAAATATTAAAATAAAATAAAAAGTAATTAAAAAGGAGGAAGTTACCTTTCTCCTGAAGCCATTCCTCTACGGGCCGGGCATATTTGAAAGGAATTTTCTTATTGGCCATTTGAATTCTCTCATTATCGCTGTTACCTTGGAAGTTTAAAAGACATCTTTAAGAATCAATAATAAGAATCAACGATCACTGTTAAAAATACTCCCAATTACAATTTCTGTCAATATTTTATATTTTAAGTTATTTAAACACTTTTAGAAGAGTTTAGTCATGTAAATTTATGTTTTGTTTTTTTAAAAGCTGTTTGTGTTCATAGTCACATAGCAGTTAATTTTCTCTTTTTTTCTCCAGTAATGAAACACTATTTAAACTGCACGTCTACTCCATCTTCTCTCATAATGAAATCAATCATCACCAGAGTTGATAAAAACATATTTAGAATAAATTTGGTTCATCTGTAAGAGATGCGTAATGAATGCCAGCAGATTAGTTGCCTGCGGTCAATCCATCAAAAGATGATAGCATACACTCTTTCATGCTTCACATTCTTATAATTATATACACATTTATCTGCTCACTGCTAATGATGCCGGTCAATATTTACAATTTTTCACACAGAAAACCACATCAATAGTCATAATCATTCAGCACCACTGACAAACAAGAACTAGACAGCAGCTGCTTCTGTTTTCCAAAGCCTTCTGTTCTCCAGAAATTATATAATTGTAAAATCATGTTTGATAAATGAGCTGGTACCAATGGGATGCAAAAGCGAGTTGTGGGCCTCCACTCATGAGATGTGTCTGGGGATGTTTGTTTTAATGGCAAGCCCAAAGAGCTGTGCTGATATTCCATGTGACTGTGGGCTCATGGAGACGCAGCAGGAAGCTGATCAGAGGGGGTTCTGGATGTCATTTGAGGACAGGGGGTCACAATGTCGTGCTGTTTCAACAATGACTTCGAGTGCTAAGGGTGGCACGACACTGCAGGATGTTATGTGAGCCAAATTTCAGGACTCCAAGGAGTGGTGTACCAGGGGGCCAGCCTAAAGGGAGACTGCATCATTGGCAGAGCTGTCTTCAGACAGCAGGAAGTGCAACCAATACCCTCAAAACCCGGGAATTCGAGTCACCAACTGCTCGGCTTCTCAGGTAGCCTCTGAGAAGAACGCCAACTAACAAAACAAAACAAAAGTTTTAGATTTGTTTCACAAAAGGGAAGGTTGAGATCTGAGACAACTCTTCTAACAACTGTATCTTCTTTTGTGTTACGCAGAAAGTCACAAAGGGCTGGAACAACAAGTAAATTATTGCTGCATGATATATCGGAATAAAATATATTACGATATGACTTATTGCGATAGTCACCGTAAAGGCAGTGATTCAGCTGAATAAATATATAACTACCGGCAATCCATCCAAAAAAATAAAAAAGCCTGACGTTTTAATGTTTATAAAAAAAGAAAAAAGAAAGAAATTGATACATAAATACCAGTACTGCAATTTTACAGTGTACTATACAGAGTTACTATAGTTAACTAAAATGTCAAATGCAATGAAAACTAAAACCATAAAAAAAGGAAAAAAAATCACTTGATGTACTAAAATAAAATTAAATAAAAAAAACGTATATAATAAATAAATTAATAATAAAAATTTAAATAAACAAATAATAAATGAAAAATAAAGCAACAAAATTAATAAAACCTAACAGTTAAAAAGAAAATATAAAAATAAAACTTTAAACTAACTGATATTTTTAACTTTATGGTTCACTTTATGGTTACTGAAAAATGTTGCGTAGTGTATACCCAAGTGTGAACCCAAGTTTTTCCCAATTTTTTTTTTTTTTTAGCATTTTGTGCTACAAAGATGGCTCACGTGGAAAGAAGTCTTCAAAATAAAAATACATTTTTCTTTTTTTTATTATTATTTTATTTTCTCTGCAGATGCACTCCCCAACAAAATCACCCAATAATTCTAGAATGATTTATTCTTTCCATATAACTATTCAAGTCATCTGGCAGAAATTTCTGTATTTTTAATACTGCAATATATATTGCAGAATAAAAATGATTGAAATGTCAGTTTTTTCCAGTACTGTGCAGCCCTAGAATAAATGACAGAAATTGCATTTTTAGCTGAACTATCCCTTTAACGGGGCACTAGCGGAGTAACCAACCACCCATATGACCTAACCTGCAATCCTTGTGTTACAAGTATAGACACTTAACCATGTGGCAGCACCGCAGACAGATGTTGCAGGTGGCTAGCAAGGGACCCTAGTACTGGATGTGTGGGAGGGCAGTAGGACAAGAAGAGAGCAGATGGAGAGAACGAATGGGATGCTTATTATCAGCGGAAAGAGGGAGTAGAGCCAACTGAGGCCATGACCTCTCTCAAATTCACAAGTACCACACACATAGTTTTATCCCCCATTCCCTCCTATTATATTCCCAAGTCCCAAATTCAGTTTTACCCTGGTAAAGAATGTATTGTGCTTTAAATAGATCCTCAAGAGAGGCAATGTCAACTGCTATCATTCAAAGCTCTGCTAAGGTGTTAGTGGTGGCACTACAGGGTAGTCTGATGGTGGAAACTCATTACAGCTGGGCTCATACAGAGCTCTGGCTGTTTTATAGACATCACAACACAGAATCATACAAATACACATCATATACAGACAATTTAAAGGAATATTTCATCCAAAAATTACAATTCTGTCATTGTGTACTCACCTGAGTGTTGTCACCTGCAAATGTAAACTAAAAATTAAATGAATACCAAAAATATTACCATTTCAAATCAGCTTTTATTTTATAAGTACTATAATAGTATGTAAAATAATAGTAAAATAATACTGCAATAAAGGTGCGTTCACACCATATTGTAATTACCATTATTACGAGATTCCAACTTGTAAAAAGTGTTCACGTCCTTGTAGAACTTGTAATTACAACTTGTGAACTGGGAGTTTTCTGAGCACTACAACTTTTACCACTACCACCTGACCACCTCAGATTTATTAGGCACTGTGTTTAGGCATTGATAGTGCAATAGTTCTGAGTCCAAGGGTGTGAACAGCTCCAAGTAGAACGTCACGTGTTTCGAAATCCAAAAAACAAACAAACAAAAAAAAAAACAATATATTTTAAAATCTCTTCTGTGGGGCGCTGAAGAAATCAACAGAAGAGTTGAGCTATGGCATATGAGGTTCAAGCTCAGCCTGAAATGTGCCCCAATTCTGTTTTTTCCCTTCTTTACATGCCTATCTAAGAATTACATAAACCAAATGATTTTATATTGAAAACCAAAAATGTAAAATATTTTGGGGAGCTTTGTTGTAGTTTTTTTCGGGACAGTGGGGTTAGGGATGGATGACTGGCTGGTTCACAGACATTTGTGGATTTGTGCTGCTTTGATCCAGCAGTATAGAGGGTATGCCACCTTTTCTCACTCCTGAGAACATGAAAGGCTCTTTGAAATTGAAACAGCACTAGGAGGTGTTAACATGGCACAGGATCACACACTGCGGGGGAGTTTTCCTCCTACTGTGATTAAGTTTCACAAACACATACAAGAGATATTTGTGCATTTTAATTCCCTTTAATTCTAAATTAGAGGAACCCTTAATGGCTCTGCGGTAACATGAGTGCACGCCAAAGAAACCCTAGACTGCTGCCACATTTAAAATGTATGAGATATTTCATAGAAATTGTTATATTTTTTTATAATTAGACTTGATAAGTGTGGCTTTCTCTCTCTGAGGAAAAGGCTGCTAATAACAACAACTCAAAATAATTCATGAGAACAACCGTGTGATTGTGAACATTCTCCCTTTGTAACCCAGCCGTGTTGTGTGCAGTTGTTCTCGTCACCGAGTGATAAATTGCTACGGGACGCCATTGCCGTCTCGCTGAAAACAAATATAGTTTATTGCATGAAACTGTCGGCCTTGCCAAGTACTGTTTGAGCCACCAAAAAAAATCTCCTCATAAACACTATTGTGTTATATTTCACATTGACAAATTATTGCTGTTTTGTTTGAGGGGGGGCGGTTAAGACAAGTTCCCCTTCGGGAACTCGAGCTGCATCGGAAAATGCTAGGGGAACGCCTTCAGCGATACCAAGCTCTGAATCATATGTGTAATCAGTCGAACGATGGGCGAGACGTCCGCGGCGGGTGACGTCATGACCAGGAAGCTTTAAAAGCACGTGAGGTGCCGCCGGCGCTAGCTTTCTGTCATTCAGCGAAGCTCTCTGTGTGTGTCGGTCACGATTTATGTTCTGTGAGTCTTATTTATTGTTGTCTGTCCAAAGTCTATAAGCTCCAGCTATGTCTAAGCTCATGCAAGGACAAAGCATTTCAAGGGCGAGAGCAGGCCACGTTGTAGGTTGTGTGTTCCTCCCTGCCCAAAGATAATGTTATATCACGAGTGGGGACACACACAGCCTGTGCGTGGTTTGCTTGCGAGCGAAGCATAGTTGTTACGCCTCGATTCAACGGGGTCACCCCCACGCTAGTGGGTCCCGAGCAGGCTCGGGTATTAGAACAAGAAGTAGTTACTCCTCTTGAGGAAGGAGGCCATCGAGGTGGTCCCTCCGCACGAGGCAGACTCCGGGTTCTACAGCCGGTACTTCATTGTTCCGAAGAAGGATGGTGTGGGGTTGCGTCCCATTTTAGATCTGCACCTGGAACGTTCCAGGTTACGTATGTAACCATGGTTCCCCGAGGGAATGAGACGCTGCGTCGCAAGGCCATACTTCCGGCGTCCCTACTAGAGCTTGCTTCACTCCTAAAAAGCTAGCGCCGGCGGCACCTCACGTGCTTTTAAAGCTTCCTGGTCATGACGTCACCCGCCGCGGACGTCTCGCCCATCGTTCGACTGATTACACATATGATTCAGAGCTTGGTATCGCTGAAGGCATTCCCCTAGCATTTTCCGACGCAGCGTCTCGTTCCCTCGGGGAACCATGGTTACATACGGAATTGCCACTGAAATAGTTAAATAGTTATCCAGTGTTGTTATTGTTAACTGAAACTAAATTTATGTAAAACAATTTTTGTTAATTGAAATAAAGCTGAAATTAAATAAAATCAAAATTTTAGATTAAAAAACTTAAATGAAAATTGGAAA